GGGGAGGGGGAGCTGTATCTTGCTCTGTGCTCAGGGGTTACTTCCAGTGGGGCACCCTGTGGACCTGGGACTCCTGCCTTTAAAGCATGTGCTCTAGCGGTTTGAACCATCTCCCTGATGCTGTAGTTGAGATTTTGAGGGATGGAAACAATATGTGACTTTATTTGTATGATTCATCTTAATTGTATTACTATATTACATAGATAATTATTCATCTAACCACTTGTTATCTGCAGACTCACAGTGAATAGGAGCTGTCCTGTTCACCAGTGTTTATCCGCTTCCTACTACAGTTAGTTTGTTGTAGGTACTTAGTATTTCACAAATGAATTATTTCTGCCTTCAGCTCAGTCTTCATCCGTATCCTGTTCACTTTGGGAATAAAGAAACTAGACCCTCATTAGTGAGTGAATTGGTCCCCTTATACTTATATATTTATCATATTTCACTTGTGAAACTACAGAATTGTAAAGGTGGCTAGTGATACTTCTGTTTAAGTACCTTGTTACTTAGACTTTTTTTCCTGCACTTTCTATGTAGAAACTTTTTACTTGCTTTTAGGCAAGGAAATTGCTTTTGAAGAAAAGATAAATTAGCTTATCTGTGTCCCTTTTGAAGTTACTTTAAAATGATGTTTGTAGTTTGGGGCATACTTTCTAATAACTTTAATGTAACTTGAAAGCTTTCAGATTTTCTTCTCATTTTCTTTACCACTGTCATCTAGTGACTTTTCATCTTTTATACAAATACCAAAGGATTTGTTGTACCTATCTTTCCATAGTTTTTCTTTTTTTAAAACACATTCATCATTTTCTGCTCTCTTTGAAGTTGCCAGATCTTTCTTCCTGTCTCATACATTTTTATTTTGTTTTATATATCTCTTCTTTTTGAAAAACAAATGCAATGAAGTCAGAATACTTTGATTGAAAACATAATTTTTCAAAATGACTCCTTTATTGATAATTATTTTAGTAATGGATTTAAATACATGGTTAAATCTGTTTTACACTTAGCATGTTAGACCAAAGTATAAGTCTTCCAAGTATCAGTTTTTAAGAATTATTTAAATAACTTAATTTAACTATCCCTAAAATAGCGTTTTAAATTAATTTTTCACATAAACAATGTAGTGTATTGTTTAACAAGGATAGAGATAAAGTTTTAAAATTTGAAAATCTGAAATGTTGTTTGAAATGTTGTTTCCTAGAGATAATACTTGTAAGGCCACCTTGAATGTGGCCAGATTTCAATCACTAGCACCCCAGAAGGTCCCTGAGTATCACTAGGAGGGATCCCTGAGCACAAAGTTAGGAGTAATCACTGAGTATTGCTGGGTGTGGCCAAAACCAAAAAAATTTCTAAAATGTTAAGTATAAAATGTAGAAATATTATTTTTATATACCGGGCTGGAGCGATAGCACAGGGCTGGAGCGATAGCACAGCGGGTAGGGCGTCTGCCTTGCACGCAGCCAACATGGCCGACCCGAGTTCGATTCCTCCGCCCCTCTCGGAGAGCCCGGCAAGCTACCGAGAATATTCGATATGCCAGACACAGTAACAACAAAGTCTCCAATGGAGACGTTACTGGGCCCGCTCGAGCAAATCGATGATCAACGGGAGGGCCTTTACTTTACTTTACTTTACTTTACTTATGTGTAACTATAAATTGGCATGTATATTTTTATATTATCACTATCACTATCACCCTGCTGTTCTTCAATTCACTCGAGCGGGCCCAGTAACGTCTCTGTTTGTCTCTGTCATGTGCAAGTATAGCCCAGTGACCAGTTGGGGGCTCCTTCAGGGTCAGGGGAATGAGGACCATTCATTGTTACTGTTTTTGACATATCGAGTACGCCATGGGTAGCTTGTCAGGCTCTGCCGTGCGGGCGGGATACTCTCGGTAGCTTGCTGGGCTCTCCGAGACAGATGGAGGCTTTTGGGGAAGTCTCTAATCACCTTTACAGGTGTTCCTAGTTGGGCATACAGGCAGATATGATACACTCAGTAGCCTGCCGGGTTCTCTGAGAGTGAGAACTAGAGAATAAGAGGTTGCGTGGCCGCAAATGACCTGCGCGCTTCCGGGAGCTTGATTTTATAGTCTCTGGATGGCTATTGATGAGGTTACACGGCAGTTGGTGTGTGTAACTCTCTAGCTACTGGACGGTGGGGGAGCTGGGTGAACTGAACTGAGCAGGCTTGGAGATCTCAGCCCCGGATCCTGCACACCTGGGTTCCTCTGCCGGTTCCTCGTCCATGTGTGTGGAGAGTTGTCTCAGCATGACTTTGGCTGGGTCCCGGAGGTCTTCAGCTGTCGGGGCTCTGCTCGGGGCGAAGAGGGAAACTCAACCCGTCCTCCTCCAAGGGAGGTGAGGCAGCCAGGCATGGGGGCAGGAGACTCATATATAGACAATATATGTGTATATATTGTCCCTAACACTATATCATATTATGTCTTAATATTATCTTTTGTTTTCAGAAAATATACTTACTATAGAAAAATGAAAAAGCGTGTCATTGAGGCATTTCAAATTGTCATAGTACTTTTGGCAAATAAATTTTTTTTAAAAGTAACACAACAGAGACAGAGACATCAGTACAACTGTTCAAGTGCTTGCCTTATACATGGCCTATCTGGATGTGATCTCTGGCATTGTATATGGTCCCTTGAGTACCAGGTGTGATTTCTGAGTGTACAGCCAGTAGTAGCCTCTGAGCTCATTGCCGGGTCTGACCCAAAATCCCAAAAAATTACAAATAAAAAAAATTAAATAGAATCCTGTCATCTGTTGGCAGGAATTTCAAACTTTTAGAATTCAAAAAACAATTGCAGATTGAAGCACAATTTATTTCTCAGTTAATGATTTAGAACTTGTAGATAAGTTAAGTTGTAAAGCACATAGATCTTAAATAACATTTCAAAAAAATCATACATGTGCTGTTTTTACTCTGCTTTTTATTCTTTTTTATCCTTAAAATGGTGTCATCCTTAGTGTATATTATGAAATATCAAGTTATTAGATGGGGTAAATGCTTGGTAATTGAAATTCTTAGGAGAACTAAACAAAGATATTTTTCTCCCTTTTAAAAAATTTGTATCATTTCTTCTTCTCTTTAAGCTCTCCTTATGCTTTTGTTTCATTCACGGTTACTGTGTTTAAGATGTTCATCTATTTGGTCATATTCGTGAGTTGTCATAATTACATCAAAAGAAATCTACAATCTTAAACATTTTCTTGACTGTATAACTTGATATTGTCAAGAGTTATATTTGGACTAAGAAATTCTCATTCCTCTCTGCCCCCCGCCCCCTGTCCACTCTTCGGAAATCTAAGTATTGTGTTACTTCAGTAATGGGTTGTGCTAATCATTGTGCTTTATAGGATACCAGATTGGATAGAATGCAGTGTCATGTGGTTCTTCTATCTCGTGCGTGTAATTGTCACTTTTTCTTCAAAGCACTTCCTTTATCATGGTGTAGTAATATATTTTGATTGTCAGATAAATATATGGTACTTGCTTTGTTATAAAAGTTTAGCTCATTTCTATTTAGGATTAAATTATTGACCTTAAGTGTGGCATATAAGAAAAATCACTGCATTGAAAGCTGAGATACCTTGATATAAGGTTTATCACTGATAGCTATCAATTCTGTGTATCATCAAATCATTTCTCTGGACTGCTTTTTCAAATCTGTAAAATGTAATAGTTTCATGTTGCTTATAATTCTTGCTGGCTAAAAATATTATTGCCTATGTAAAACCATTTAGAGCTACTACAGGAATATATCAGATTGATATATTTGATAATAAGTTCACTTGATATAAAGCAGCATGTTTAGATAAATATATATGTGTATATGTATACATATATAAGCACACTTATTTATTTTAAAATAACACTAATAAATGTGTGCGTTGTCATATAAAATGAGTTTTCAGCATGGAGAAATTTATGCGTCTGTGATAGGATCACATTGAAGTATGTCTAATCATACTAATTGCAGTAATGGCATTAAAATGTGCAGAATCTTCTTCACTGTTATCAAACTTTCATGCTTATGTTATGACATACTTGAGGAACTTGCTGAAAGACAGATTCTAATTCAGAATATTATAGTGAGCGTGAGACAGATCGTGCATTTTACCTTAGGGGATGCTGTGATTGATAGTTTGAAGGGCAAATCTGAGTACTAGTCTTTGAAAGTAGGCTTAGCTGTAAGCCTACACTGGTGTGCGTTTGTTTGCTGTCCCCAGCGGTATCTGGTGGTGTGGGCATGATGGTTCCATGTTGAGGTCAGGCACTCCGGTATTCCAGTTGAACAAGGGCCATGCTAGAGATTCTTTTAAAAACTTTTTTTTACAGCAGTCCTGTTGTATTTGTTGCTTTTATGTACTTAGATATTGACTTTTAAATGACAGGAAAATACATTCTGAATATAGAGTGTAAACTTGAATTAAGTTTAAAATAAAAAATTTATGCCATGTTTCAATGAGTTTCATCTTAACTAGTATTTTGGTACATTTGAGACTTTTTCCTTGTTCTTTTTCACAGATGTTAAAAATTATTTCTTTTTGTTATACCAACATGAATACACTTATACACATGGGCTATAATAGATGTAGCATAAACCCAGATTTAGCATTTTTGCTGCAGAAGTCAAATATAAGAAGTATGGAAAATTTAAGTGCACCATGAAAGTCATACTTGCATATGTTTTAAGTTTTGATAAAACAAATCCGTCATAGCAATTTGGAGAACTTTCCTATCTGGTACTTGTGTTATTTAAAAGTATTGTAAAACCTGTTTAATTTGTTAGGTTATTATTTTCTCTGATACAAATTATTAAAAATGCATTAGATCAAGGAAGCATTAGAAATAATTTCTAAGAACTTAGTTTAAGCACTAATAACAGAAATTTATTTAATAATGTATTAATTTAATAAAATAAATGTTAGGTATCTTTGTTTATTCATATGTATATATTTATTTATTTTTAGAGAACCAGAGGACGGAAACGGAGCTTTATTCCTGAAGAAGAAAAACATGAGGTTGGACTAAGTTGAGCATTTTTTGCAGTCTAAACTTAGAACAGTTATGCTTAAAATTATCTGCTTTCATTATACCTAATTTTTTTGTTTTGTTTTGTTTTATTCTCTCTGTATGACAGGAAAGAGTTCCCAGAGAGAGAAGACAAAGGCAGTCTGTGTTACAAAAGAAACCCAAAGCTGAAGATTTGCGAACTGAGTGTGCAACTTGCAAGGGAACTGGTGACAATGAAAATCTGGTCAGGTAAGTTAAATTCAGTGTCCTTCTCTATATGCGAGACTATTTTCATCATCATTTTCTCATCACAGATATTATGGGGGCAGGAGGGAAATCACATTGTGTAAGACCTTTCTTAAAATCTTAAAATCTTGTCTTGCTTTTTCAAAAACAGATTTCATCTATTTACTAGCCTGCCACACATGGTTATGTATGGAGTTAGATGATTAAGAGTGATGCTTTGGGTATTGAGGATGACCTTTTATTTTCTCTTGACAAGAAGTTGGCAGTTTTTTATGCAGAGGGACCCTGAAAGCTTGATCCACTTTGTTTAAAACTAGTGTCTTATTGAATAAAAGAAAAAATTACAGTTTGTTGCATTATGAAAGCTAAAGCTTATTAGTACTAAGACGTGTTTTATTGATTAGAGCTTCATCAACACTTCCTTTTTATACATCAATATGTGTTAAATGCTTCTCTCATGATATAAAGAAAGGTGAAAAGGTGGCCTGGATAGATTTTGTTGTTGTTGTTGTTTTCTTTGTTTCTTTGTTTTGTTTTGATACTTTCCCCCCCACCCTGTTAGACATATTATTCATCAGGAATCTCAGCTGGTGTTGCACAGTGGCTTTCCTGAACATCAGAGATGACTAATTTTAACCCTTTACCTTTTGCTGAGATGAAGAAGTTCTAGGTCAGAGAGGAGGGTGATTAAGTGAGGTATCACTCTTCAGAGGAAAGTGACACAAAAAATCTTTTAGTATATTGATTGGGAACCTGTACTGATACTTTTTATTAACTATTATTTGGCAGAACCCTGTTAATTGAGGACTAGATATTAAATATTTCGAAAAGAATAAGTGTATAAAACATAATAACGGTGGCATTTTAAAATAAATATGCTATTTTTCTAATATTAAGAGGTTAGCATTTGTTAGCATTTCAAATGAAGCCAAGCAATTTTAAATTTTTGAGGTTTTATTCTACCACAGAAGAATTAAAAGGGAAGGTAACGATAGCTGCTAAGCTGCTTCAACAAAGTTGTCTATAATATTGTGTCAACGCTATTTGAAGTAGTTCACATTGATAATGAATGAATGATTTTGAAAATTAACACATTTAAATTTAGGGTAAAATTAGTTACAGTATCAGATAAACACGTAATAATTTTGATCATCATACACACATAATCCCATGTATATAATCCCACATATGTATAATTTGGATTTACATAAAATAGCAGAAGCTCCAAACATAACATAGAGTGCATAAAAAACACACGCACAGTAAACAGAAGGGAAAAAAAATGTTAAAACAATCTTTTATAATGAACATAAAAGTCGATCCAGAGAAGATGACCTTGAGTTTAAGGGTGGTGTTGTGGATTATGATTAATTTGAAATAATAGTTTCACAAAACTTAAGAGGGACTGATGATTATAGGAAGGAGATTTGTCTTGCACTCAGCCAACCTGGGTTTAATCCCTGCATATCCCAAATGGTTCCCTGAGCACTGCTGGTTGTAATTCCTGTGTTTAGAGCCAGGAGTAACCTCTTGAGTACTGCCTGGCCCCCAAATAACAAAAAAAAATCTCTCTACCCTCCCAATTTTTTTTTAAGACATCTGATATCCTTTTAATTATTTTTTTACTTATATATTTTATCCTCATTTTTTCCCCTTTTCTTTCTTTGTTTTTGTTTTTTGAAGAGAATTTGAACTCTTTTGCCATCACACCGATAGGTATTTGTCATTGTTTTATTTATTTGGCTCTGTAACTGAAAGAATGGACCTAGCATTTTATTTTAAAAACACTGTATGCCAAGAGTATCTTCAACACATCATATTTCAGTTGTACTAAAGAAAAGCAACATCTTTCTTCTACTCTTGCTGGTATTTTCTGTCATTTACTTTATTTGTTTTGGTTACAAATTTCCATTCCTATACACAGCTTGAATTATAAACAGATTAGTGTCTGCAAATTTGTAGAAGACTTCTGTAAGATAAAGATACTTCTGTTACTCTAGATGGATACACACACATATGTATATATGTATTTTAATTTTGTATAATAATTGATATACAAAATCTTCTTAGTTTTGCCTTCAAATTTTTTTGTTTTAAAAAAAGTTTTTGTTTTTTGGGCTACACTTGGCAGTGCTCTGAGCTTAATTCTGGCATGTAACTCAGAGATTGCTCTACTCCTCACTGTGTGCTCAGAAATCACTCCTGGTGAGTCCTGGGGAGCCATACAGGATGCCAGGGATTCAACCTCGGTCAGTCACGTACAGGGCAAGCAAGAACCCTACCCACTGCTTTATTGCACCAACTCCAATCTTAAAGAAGTTAGAAAAGTAATATACAATGTATAGCACAGCGGGTAGGGTGTTTGCCTTCCATGCAGCCAACATGGCCGACCCGAGTTCGATTCCTCCGCCCCTCTCGGAGAGCCCGGCAAGCTACCGAGAGTATTTGATATGCCAGACACAGTAACAACAAAGTCTCCAATGGAGACGTTACTGGGCCCGCTCGAGCAAATCGATGATCAACGGGAGGGCCTTTACTTTACTTTACTTTACACATGTATTCATATACATATATATGCACACACATACACACACCCCGCACACATATATCCTTGAATATAAAATGAATAGAGTACTAATGTTATAACTTTATGAAGTTATAAAATAGTTATTTTTATTATATAGTCTGTTAAAATAATAATAACACATATAAATAAATTCCGTTTAAACATAATTGATCTTGATTTAAAGAAGATTTTTATATAGAATTTCATGTGTTTTAAATGGTAGTTATACAGATCAGTGCCTATCATTTCACCTGAAACCTTTTAATTTTATTATTGTTGCCATTATTATTTTCTAGTACCCCCTAAGAGCTTGCACCTTTTTAAGTTATTTCTTTAAACGTTGTGCATACATACTTTTCTTTTAACTTTAATTTTAAGTTATAACAGTTTTTTTTTAAAGATATATTTCAATGCTTATTTGGAGATACATCATTAGCTCCTCTTCAAAATGAAAGTTTTCGGGTCATAATTTAGTTAACAATCTTTTATGAATATGCTATTTATTTTCTCAAGTTTTTTTAAGCCGTGTATTGTACATAGCTCACTAGACCCTGCTGTTCAGCAGCTTTAATTTTGAAACCACACTTCTCTATGTAATTCAGGCTAAGTAGAACTTTATTCTTCTTTTTTCAATTATCTGTATATGCTTATATGTGAATCTATATGTATATGGTTTTTATACAGTTAGAAAATCACATTCAGTTTATTAGTTAGCTGTACTAGTAGGTACCCTTCTGGTTTATATCTAAGTTTTTCTCGGGTCTTTGGCAGGTAATGTAGTATTTCTCTGTGTTGGGTTTCCACTCTGTACTATGATTAAACTCATACTGTGTTCCATTTAGCAATGGGTATAGCGGCAATATTATATAATAACACAAATGGAGCTTTATGTTTGCTCTAAAGAATTTCATCAGTTGTGTTCAGCTAAATAGTAAATATTTTTTTCCCTTTTCAGAAATGTGCATGTCCTTTTTATGTATAATTCTGAAGAATGGGGGATAAGAACTTAAATTTCTTGAAATACATTTTCTAAAATGATTAGACTATACTAGTTCCACTGGCCATGGAAAAATAGGAAAATGATCAAATTCTAAAAGAGATAGGAAGATATTTCACCCATTTAATGAAACGTAGAAATACAGAAAATATTCAGAATTGGTGTACCAAAACTTCGTAACTGCCAAATCACTGCAAAGAGAATAGTAAACCTAGGGGTCTGGCTGATAGCTCCAAGGGGTCGAGCACATGCATCAGATCCAAGTTTGAGCCATGGCACCACACGTCCCTTAGAGCAGTTATCTCTACTGGGGGCTTTGTGGGCCCCCAGAATACTCTAAAGGGGGCCACGGGTAAAAAATCATGTAAGTGGCAAGGCCACAGCATGAGAATATGTGGGCAGAGGAAGGAAACCGTCAGAAGCCCCCACCTTCACCCTAATCTGGAAAACACTAAGAAATACAGCCTTAAAGTAGCTAGGAGTGGCCATGGTAGCTCCTCTGCAACCTGCTAGGCCAAGTAGCATCTCGTTGCTGGGCTGAGCATTAACTATTAATCCACACCTCCAGGCCCCTGAGCACTGTTGGAGAGCATCCCACACCCCCCTCTGTCAAAGAAAAGTTAATCTACTTAATTCAATAGGTTGTGTGTGTGTGTGTGTGTGTGTGTGTGTGTAAAACTTGCACAGTGAACTGTACAAGTGTTAAGTGAATAAATTGGTGAATTTTCACTAAAGCAGACACGTAAATCCCATTTTTATTAAGATAGAGATCACTGTCAAAAAGCTGTGCCCTTTCACATTCAGTCCTTTTTCTCAAAGGTGATGGTGTGGTTTTTTTTCCATTAATTTTGCTTCTTACAAAATTTTATGTGAAAGTCATGTTTTAGCTTTATTTGATGTGTCAGAAATAGGTAAGTGAGGGTGTCCCACTGTGGTTTTAATTTGTATTACTCTGATGTGTAATGTGTTGAGCCATTTTACATGTTACTGACTCTTCCTTAGTGAACTACTCCTTTTGCCCCCTTTAAAAAAAATTAGGTTGGACTAGGGAGAGAGTACAGGAATTATTGTGATTGCCTTGCATGAGGCTGACCTGGTTAGACACCTCTGCCATCTCCCCAAAATGCACATGTTCCCCTGGGAATAGCCTCTAAGCCACAGAGCCTGAAATAGCCCCCCCCCCCCAACACTGCTGGGGTGTCAACCACCCCATAGCCCTCATTGAGTTGTTTGTATGTTATTGAGTTGTTGATTTGGGGACCACACCCAACAGTGTTAGGACTTACTCCTGGCTCTGTGCTCAGGGATTACTCGACATGGATTTTTGGCATAAATTGAGGTACTGGGGATTAAAAATCCAGATTGACAACATTCAAGGCAAGCACCGTAACTACTGTACTATGTCTCCCACCCCATCTGTTTTTTTACTGATGTTATTTA